GTAACCGCAGCCGGACAGCTCAGCAGCCGGTGAGAGAGGTTTACGTCTTTTTAATGACTTGGAATCACTGCGGCGCCGCAACCACGGCGCCGCAACGGTAAGACCGGAGTCGGTGTGAGCCTGGGGTTTATCTTCACATTTTCAAACACAGAGGTGTTTATAGATCAGTACTTTTAGACATCTGCTTTTGTCTTCGTGAACCCCAGTCGGCCTTGGCAGAAGGCCACTCAAGCTAAGCCTGGTTCTGCTGGAGGTTTCCTCCCATTAAAAGGGATTTTTTCTTCCCCACTGTCGCTGCATGCTTGTTCGGTACGAGGGATTGCTGTAAAGTCAGAGCAAAGTTGAAGCAAATGTCTACTGTCGCCCAGGAGGAGCGAAAACAACCAATCTGATCAGATCGTCGGACTCGATTGTCTGCCTTCAGATGACGTGCTGTGAATTGGTGCTATATTACATTTTCTGGCAAAGTGTTAGCACCCTCTGCTGGTAGCCAGGAGCAACTAAATCATATATCATGTGACTTTGATCCTCCTGACTGTGTTGACGTTTTTTTCTCCAATGTTCTCAGGTTTCTTGTCCCGGAGTTCGTCTGTCAGCCAAAGATGACATTTTCCTCAGCTTGTTCTTCATGGATCAGCTCCATCAGTCCGAGAGTCTTCCTGCCGTCTTTCCTCTGCTGTTCCACCAGAAGATGACGTTTGAAAAGGCAGATATACACATTGACCATGAAGAAAAACTTGCATGTCTTACAAAACATGAAGTTGTTTCTGTGTTTAGATGATTGAAGAGGTGCAATCATTGTTTTCCTCTCAGATCTTCAGGCATGCAGCTGATCCAAAAGACATCGCTCTGCTGCTCGAGAGTAGGGGACTCCTTTTCCTCTTGTTTCTGAATAAAAGCTAAATTTAACATCCTGCACAGCTGTATTAGTGGAAGTTTTCCTTTTTTTTTTAGAATGATTTAGAGGAAAAGTCCGCTCATATTCAAAATTCAAACTTCTGAAAGTTCTTTGAATATGAAAATATTCCATCCTGTTCAATAAATAAGTGTTTTTAATTCAGAGTAGTTTCCATCTGAATGTGCTTTACTGGAGGCATCCATGTTTGTCAAAGAACACTACTGCCACCTACTGGTTAGTGACGTCACGGTGCGGTATCGGCTGTTGATCAAGTCCCAGTGCTGTATCTGGTGTTTGTCACAACGCGCTATTATCCAAGTCATCTTGAAAACATTCTTCTTCCAGATGTTGAGTATCCTAACATTTCAGCTCACAATCCATCACAGGCATCCAG